CGTTTAGAGGATCCAGTATTCATCAATCTAATTCCGACGTGGGAATCCATGGCATCATTTTTGGAGCAGCGATGCAGAACACTGGAGACTATGGAATTCGCCATGGCAAGCTATGCGTCTGGCAATCAGGTGGGACACAACGGAACATCTAATTCTCGTAGATCCGCTTTTGTTGCCACAAATATTAACCCTTGGATTTGTTCGTTCTGTAATGCTTCTGGTCACTCCATTCATTATTGCCAAGATTTTAATGCCCTGCCCCCTGCAAATCGGCTTCAAGAAGTAAAGAGGCTCTCTCTTTGCATAAACTGCCTTAAGATAGGGCATCAATTGAGGCAGTGCAATTCCAGCAATTGTCGTACATGCGGAGCTAAACACCACACCCTCCTTCACTTGGGAAATTTAGCCTCAGCTTCTCCACAGGCAGGATCACAGCTTCCAGAAGCTCTTGCCGCTGTCTCACTCAATGCTGTCGAAGAACCATCTGCCGTACCTTCCACATCCACTGCTCTTATTGCTCAGGATTTCAGTACTGACATTGTGCTCCTAGCCACTGCCACCGTTCTCGTAAAAAATCGGTCTGGAGTTTTCGTTCCATGTCGAGTCCTTCTTGATTCGGGCTCTCAACTGCATCTAATAACATCCCGCTTTGCAGATCAGCTTCAAACAAAGAAGATGAAGTCCTCGGCATCTGTTCCTGGAATCGGTGATTCGAGCTTTGTTACAAATGGGCACTCAGTTAATATTACGATGCAGTCCCGAACGTCTGATTACACGGTGAACCTAACCGCAGTTATTGCCCCCAACATAACTGAGCTACAGCCTAGTTTCAATGTGGACGTCGGCAGCTGGAAAATACCGCAAAACATTAAATTAGCTGACCCTACATTTTATATCCCTCAGCGTGTGGATCTTTTGATTGGAGCCAGTTTGTTTTACGAGCTGTGTGCGTTGGACAAATTAAGCTCGCACCAGGATTACCGCTTATTCAAAAGACTCGACTGGGATGGGTTGTTTCCGGAGGATATGGCGTCTCCAATGGCTCTTCATTAATCTCGCCCCTTGACGTACCTCTCGTTAGTAAGGAGAATAGCTTGAATCGCCTTGATGATCGTCGAAAGGTTCTGCTAATAAAATCACCATACGCAGACATCGTAGCCTGTTCCAAATTGGCAAATTCCTTCGCTGCCCTTCAAAGGATTTTCGGATACGTCTACAAGTTTATCAGTCGCACTCGTCAGCCGGATCTTAATGCGTCGGATATCCGAAGCGACATAAAGTCCTTGCAGTCTAAAGGAGTAGGAGCCCCATCTAATTCGGTTGGATCTCCATTTTCCTTTATGGACCAATTTGGACTGTTTAGAGTGGATGGCCGACTAAAAAACTCGTCGCTGGACTTCAATGGTCGTCATCCAATCATATTGTCACGAAGCCATCCTGTCACTGCCTCCATCATTACTTACTTTCATGACCGTAATCTGTACACTGGACCTCGCGCCCTATTCTGCATAGTTCGATCCCAGTATTGTCCTATGGGGGGGAGGAAGACGGAACGATTGGATGGATGGCAACGTGTGGCCTATTTGCAGCAAGTCCGCTGGACCCGATGGAAGGAGGAATACTTGACGCTACTGCAGCAGCGCTCTAAATGGCGTACCCCGAAGTCTGGCCTGGTTGTAGGTGACGTGGTGCTGGTCAATGACGAGGACTTGCCTCCGATGAAGTGGCCCTTAGCGAGAGTCGTTGAGCTTCTGTGTGGTCGAGATGGAGTTGCTCGAGTTGCCGTTCTCAAGACAACATCAGGAGTGACGAAATGAGCAGTTAATAAGCTGTGTCTGCTGCCCCTTAAGGATGCTGTTGAAAGCCAGGCTTCCAACGGGGGGAGTATGTCGGGTCATCCAGACGCAGCAGATATGTAGATTCTCTTAATGCTAGCTCTTAGCTTATCTGCATAATAACCATCGCTCTCTCTCTCTCTCTTTATCTTTCTATTCGCTCTCTCTAGTTGCTTGTTGGTTTATACTTTGGGTCAGCAATCGGCTGAGCCGCGTCTCAATTCTATTCTATTACTTCTTTTCGATCCCGCGGACCATTTGTAACTCTTTTTCGTCGAAAATAAAATCGCTGCTACAGAGTTCAAAAACAAAATTTTCTTCGTGCATAATTACTTCAACAGCTAATAAAAAAGCTTATTAGCTCAACAGCCCTTTTCAATAAATATCGAATGAGTTTAGAAAAGTATGGCATCATTCAAACGGCATTTAAATTACGATACCAAAAGTTAAAAGAAGCAAGTTCAAGTTTCGAGTATATTTCACTTTTATTTTGTCAAAATATATATGCCGACCAGTGTATGTGTTAGCTAATGATCAGCATCTCCCATCCATAAATAAACATGGCAATCTGTCCGCTTTTACGCAAACTAGTCTCTCAGCTGTCTTTCTATTGCACTTACGTATTGATGTCGGAGCGGCCAAAAATTTGTTATATTTTAAAAATTAATTAAATAAATTTTTAAAATTAACGCCTTTGCTTTTAAAATATACGGATTTATATTAAGATAAACATTATAAAATGGTTAGGGAACCAAAAATACAACTGCGATGTCAGGAGTCTTATTAACACTATTAATTCCCTTATAATGTCCAAGATAGACTACTGCCTTCCATTTTACGGTAACTACAGGGTGCGCCATCTAGACAGGGCCTATTGAAATGTTTAATAACTCCGCCATTTTTCAGCCTATTTTGACAAGCCAGCCAGATTCTGAAACGTCAGCCTATGCCATTTTAGACATGGATCGACTCACAGCAAAAAATCGGGCTGAAATTGTAGCGCTGTACATCGAATGCAATCGTTCAATTGTGAAAACTGTGCGTTGACGCGTTGTGTCAAAAAAGGGTGATTTGGAGTGGCCTCCTCGTTCGCCGGATTTGACGGCACCGGACTTTTTTCTGTGGGGCTACTTGAAGAGTAAGGTGTATGTCAGCAAACCGAAGACTATTGAACAACTAAAAGCTAATATCAAAGCGGAAATTGCTGCTATCACGCCCGAAATGTTGTCAAATACAATGCGAAATGCCCAAAAAAGGGCCGCTTTTTATGTTTCTAATGAAGGCGGTCATTTGATCGATATTGTATTCTGAGTGAATTTTCAATAAATGGCATTCTATACCCTAAATGAATCTTGTTTATTTTCCAAAATGGGCTAAAAAATGGAGGAGTTATTCAACATTTCATTAGGTCCTGTCTAGATGGCGCACCCTGTATATATGCTTAAAGTAGCTTAAAACTATAATTTAGAAATTAAAAACTAAAAATTAAAAAGTCTTTGCTTGAATTTAAGATCTAATTATTGAATTATTATTAGTTTTATCTACTTTTTAATTTCAATTTTAATTTTTTTTTCATTTTTAATTTTATTTTTCTTTTTATTTTTGTTTTCATTTTTATTTTTCATTTTCATTATGCTGTATTTTGATATATTCTTAATACCGCCCTTTTGAAGAGCGTATCATTCCCAATTAGTTTATTGAACAAGGTAGTTGATTCCAAATGCGAAAGCGTGAATAAAAAATTGCCTTTCTGATGTCAATGTTCTGTGCCTTTTAACTACATATAATGTTTTTCGTTCGTTCTGATGAGGCAAACTGAAGTTTACTGTACAGGTACGCCGGTTCTTTTGAATAGATAATCTTGTGCAGTAATATTAAAGTTCTAAATTGCATATAGTCTTTTATACTTAATCCTAATATATTACATGCTAGTGTCGAGACATGATCATACAACCTCAGACCGTATACATATCGAACAATATTGTTGAAGCAAACATTGATTTTACGGAAACTAACTGAATCACAATTTGCAAATATTTCAACACCATACATTAAAGTTGGGACAAGACAGGTTTTGGCAATTTATAGCCGAATGTTCATCGGTAGATAGTTTTTTGTTGTATGTAACATTCTTAGCAGACCATAAGTCTTGCCAGTTGCTTGATTTATGTTATTGTTCCACGTTAATGTTTTATTAAATATGGTGCCCAAGTTAGCCGTATGGTTCACATATTCAATAGGTGAATTATTGACATTGAGTTTTTTTATATTGGAAGTGTCGATATTATTTTTGTATATTATCAATGCTTTTGATTTTGATGGGTTTAAACCAAGTCCATTTTGTTTTGCCCATACACTTATTTTTTTAAGCTGCTCATTACAAAACTCAATACATTCATTGATTCTATGTAGTGGACGACTTACATACATTTGTACATCATCAGCATACAAGTGAATCAGTGGACCATCGCACACAACATTGACTAAGTCATTGACATATATCACAAAAAGCAATGGACCAAGAACAGAACCCTGGGGTACACCACGTTTCACATATTTAAAAGACGAAGAACAAGTGGACGTTACAACAGCTTGACATCTATTACTTAAATAAGACGAAATAAGTTTAATTGCCGTATCAGAGAAGAAAAACAGTGAACGAAGCTTTGTGCAAAGTATCATGTGGTCAACAGTGTCGAACGCTTTGCTATAGTCAAGAAGTGTTAAAATAGTGACTTCGCCTTTATCTAGGTGTTCTCGAATTTCCTCGGATATTTTAATGACTGCTGAGGTACAGCTTTTGTTTTTCCTGAACCCTGATTGCAGATCGGTTATTAATTTGTTATCGGAAATAAACTTGTTTACTTGAATAGCCATTACATTTTCGAACACCTTCGATAAAAATGGCAAAATCGATATAGGCCTGAACTCACAACTTCGTCCTTTGGGCACAGGAATAATTTTTTTGGCTTTCAAAATTTTATGATTTTGAACCTTGTCTGTCGAAGACTCTATAAAGTCCAGCCTTCCGACGCCAGCTGCTGGCATACACGCCCATACCATGACACTACCGCAGCCATGCGGTAACTGTGGTTTTATGTATATTTTTCGTTTACATGAAAATATTTTATATAAAAACCTTAATTTTTTTTTTTGTATTTTCAGGACTCTATTGATCAGTGGCGAAGTGTTTTTGAACTATCAGCCATTATTTCCATATTGACCTTTGTAGTTTATCAAATTTTCGGAACGGCTGAGATTCAGTCTTGGAACAAGGAGCTTCCTACACATGACGACTCAGATGAAGGAAAGATTTTATCGAAACCAAATGAAGAAGTTGATAAGACTACTGCACTAAAATGAAGAAAGTTTTTTTTAAAGTAATACTTATGTCATACTATATTATAAACTTTGTTACTATTTGTTAGCTTTGAATTGATTGTCATAATGAAACATAAACATGTTTTTGAAATATATTTGTTTGTGGGAAGACACCGAATATGCCACCCTTGTATATAACCAACCGCACGAGTAGGTTTAGTTAATTAAAGTATATATTTTTGAGCTGCAACTTTTCGTTTTATGTTTTTGAAATATGTGTACAATGTATGTCGGCGAGATAATTGGTATGCTTAACTGTGGTGCCAGCCAAAAGCGCGGCTTCTTTATACAGTCGTTCTCCCGAGTATAGATTTTTTTTTTTTTTTATAGCCTTGTTTTTATTTATTGAATCTACTCTTAACTTTGAGACTAACAATAAGTTGGCGAATCTTAAGGGGACGTTCTCTTTGTTTTGGTCGAAATGAAGGCAAAGTTCGTCAATTTTTTGTGGGATAATGAAAAGGCGTACGAACTTCGGGTTTTGCTTTTTGAATTCGTTTATTATTCAAGATTTTTAAAAAATTTATTTGATGGTGAAATTCAAAATGGCGGCTGCAAAATGGGGGCTTTCGTCTGCCTCCGCGCGGCAAACATCGTCCAAAAAGTACGAGCCTGCAGCCTCTTGTAGTCAACTGAAATAGAAAATTGTTATCATTAGTTAAAGTTAATATACTTTTGTGAGGCACTAGCAACGTCTCTACGTAATCAAGCTATCCGAAGAAGACTGAAACGGAGACACCCCGGCGACCTCTGGACAAGAGGACGCATGGTTTCCCGAGTCCTGAAACAGTAATTGTTACTGTACATCTCCTGTTATTGTTTTCATGTTATCTGTTCTTTGTTATGCTCTACGTATTATAGCCATTAGGTTGGCTGATCGACGTAAATAAAACTTATTTGTTATTTAAAAAAAAAAAAAAAAAAAAAAAAAAAATGAAAAATTATAAATAAATTATTGTTTATTTCCGGGTAGCTTAGTGCCCAATAAAAAAGCATATACTTTCATAAAAATTTTACATGAAGCAAATCGGTTCACAGGATGAAGCTGTGGACGCGTAATTTTGTTGAAAAACATGGTTTCGAGAAAAACGCATTTCAAGTTTTTTAAAAGTATGACGCGCGCGTGACGCAGGTGTATTCGAGACGCTCTCATTCACAAAATCTAACTTTCAATTTTTCAAAAAAAAAAAATCGATTTTTTGATCCAAAACAAAGAGAACATTCCCTTAACATTAAAATTTAACTAACAGTATACTAAGACTGCATTCTGGTTGCGCGTCCCTCAGGTCGGTCGCTGGGTGGGTAAGTCATTGCGACGAAGGCGTGATTGGTTGCTCAACCTTGTTAGACCTCTCGCCAGGTGGTTAGGGTGCACCGATAGCTTGGTTAAGTACTTTACCTTCTGTTCAGCGATCATTTCATTGACTGGTAGAATGTTTAAGTCGCGGTGTATGTTTTCGTTGCGAACGTACCACGGTGCCCCGGTGATTGTTCTCAAGATCTTCGACTGAATTCTTTGAACTATGTCAATGTTGCTATTGCTGGCGTTCCCCCATAACTGGGAGCCGTACATCCATATAGGTTTTAGGACCGAGTTGTACAGCAGGACTTTATATTCAAGGGTAAGAGGTGACCGAGCGTTGATAAGCCAATGAAGGCTGATGGCTTTTAGCTTTAGGTGTGTTCTTTTGGCTTCAATGTGCCAGCGCCATGTGAGTCTTCTGTCGAGATGTATTCCTAGGTATGTTACTTTGTTTGCTTGTGAGAGTAGAGTGTTGTTTAATGTAATCGGCGGGCAGTTTTGCCTGTTCAGAGTGAACGTAACGTGCTTGCATTTTAGTTCGTTCACTTTAATTCGCCAATCTGACAGCCATTTTTCAACATCGACCATATGAAGAGCTAGCTGCGCAGTTACTTGAATCGGGCATTTTGAGCGGCTAAGAATAGTTGTGTCATCGGCAAACGTGGATGTTGTTAGACGTGTGCTTGTCGGGATGTCTGCTGTGTAGAAGACATATAATATTGGCCCTGGCACGCTACCTTGAGGAACTCCAGCTCCAACAGTGTAATCATCAGATATAGCAGTGTTGCACCTCACGACAAATTTTCTGTCGTAAAGGTAATACTCTAAAATCTTCTAGCCAGACTCTATCAAATGCTTGAGAGACATCTAAAATTATGGCAGTACAGCACTCTCGTTTTTCGAACGCGTTCCGAATTTCGGATTTTATCCGGTTGACCTGCTCAATTGTTCCATGCTTTTCACGAAACCCAAATTGGTGTGATGAGATTCTTTCCTGGATTCTCAGGTATGTGTTTATCCGAGTCATTAGGCATTTTTTAAAGAGTTTAGATAGGCAAGAGAGTAGGCTTATAGGTCTATACGATGTGGGGATAGTGTGGTCTTTCCCCGGCTTTGCTATCATTATTATAATTGACTTTTTCCATCTCATTGGAAAGTGGCCAAGTTTTGCTATGGCGTTAAATAGCTGGGTGAGAGTGCAAACGGCGCAGTATGGGAGCTCAATGATCATTTTGGGAGTTATGTGGTCGCAGCCCGGGGATTTTTTCGGATTCAGTTGTCTTTTGATGATGTTAACGATTTCGTTTGGGCGAAACTCAATTGGCTCATGTTGGGGCTGGGGCTCATGTGATAGTGTCGGCAAAGTAAACGCATTGGTGGCAGGATTTGGTTGGAAGACATTTTTAAGGTGTTTGGCAAACGTGCAGGCTCTGTCTGCGTCGCTGCGCGCCCACCCGCCTGTGAAATTTCTAATAGGCATCACGGTTTCTTTCGGTGAGCTCAGAGTTGGGTGAGCTCTCCATAGTGAGTGTTTTGTGCTGTTAGTTGACAATTGCTCTATGTAGCGGCGGTGGACATACGTTTCTTCTTGCTGTAGAGCTTGATCAAGTTGACGTGAGGCATGTTTTAAGCGTTGCTTAGCAGATGGCGATCTGTGACATTTCCTTTCTCGACGTAAGCGTCGCTTTTCGAGGACGAGCTGTTCGATTTGTAGATTTGTCTTCTTTTGAATGCATTGTGTGTTTGTAGTTTGAGGTGTTGAAACTCGAGCTGCAGAGACGAGTACAGACTCCAGTGAATTAATAAAACTGTCTACGTTGGCTTCGTCGCTGAGTTGAGGACTCAGCTCAATGTGTGAGCTGATATACTTCCTGTACTTTACCCAATTGGTTTTATGTGAGGTCAGTTTTGATGAGTGATCCCATGTTCCTGGGTGTCGGAGTAGAGTAAAACGGCCATGCGAGTGATCAGATGAAAGATCCGAAAGGCATTCGGCGCTTATCATATTTTTAGGAATGTTTTTGGTAATCGCAAAGTCTATTAAATCGGGAAGTTTCTTTGGGTCTGCCGTCCAGTGTGTTGGAGTGCCAGAAGAAACATAATGCAATTATCACAGCTAAGAACAAGCTAGAGTTCTTAGCTTTGATAATTGCATTATAGAGCTGCTTTCCTTTTGGGGTCACGAGACGAGATCCCCAGTGTGTGTGCTTGGCATTGTAGTCTCCTGCTGCTATGAAGTGGTCTCCGAGTGAGTTGAAAAACTGCATAAACTCATCTTTGGCTATGGTGAAGCGTGGGGGGCAGTACACGGCGGCTAGAGTTAATTGCTTGTCAGTAATTAGGTGTATATTTATTGATGTGGCCTGTAGGTAGTTTTTAGCAAATTTCGTATGATAATGGTGCTTAATATGGCTTCTGATTATGATGTGACATTTTTGGCAGAGTTTATGGGTCCTAGTGAGGATCTGGCTGCAGCCGAGAAGAAGACTTCAGGGTTTGACCTGGAGGCTATGAACTGATTATTTTGGGTGCGGGCAGTAAATCCCCTCTGGTGGATGCGACTTTTCAGCTCCTTATAAACTGGGCAACCTCTATAGTTAGCAGTGTGGTCATCTTTGCTCGCTGGGCAGTGTGCGGAGTCATGAAGCTCACCACAAACTACACACACCGGGCGCAGTTTACAGTAAGACCTTGTATGGCCATATTCTTGGCAGTTCGCACATTGTACCGGGCCATTGCGTTTGTGCGACTCCTCAACTGTAATTCTGCGGTGCAGCAGGAACTGAAGATTGTTTATAGGGTGCACTTCGTATTTCTTTAGGGGCTTAATTTGTGATTCGAGCTCAACCTTAAAGAGTGGCTGTCGCTTTCTATCCCTGTTTAGGATATTGAAGACTGTCTTAGCGCTAAATCCCTTCTCTTGTAGCGCCTTTGTTATCTCTGCAGGCGAGACTTCGGACTTAAGTACAACTTGCAGGCCCTTGCTGCTTTTTAGCTGATATGTGTAAAAGTTATTTTTTTTTTGTCGTTGAGGTATTTCGATAATACTCTGTAATTATCTTCAGACTTCGTTTGAACTTTTGTTTCCTAGATGTTGCCCTTCACGTGTGGTATTATGTGGAAGTTGTCCTTGCCAATAAGCTCTATAATTTTGTTGACAAGAACGTTGGAACTTTTTTCTCGTATGTAAATTGGCGGGGGCTTCGGCTTCCTTTTTTCGACTTCTGTAGATTCGGCGTCATCCTCATAGTCTGCCAAGATTTTAAAACGGTTTGAGTTCGTGGGCGTTTCTATTGCAGCTATGTTAGCATTGCCACGGGTTATTTTGCGTTGAGAGCTTAGGGGGCTCAGCTTCCTTTTGATTTGGATGTACCGATCCATACCAGTCTGCACAGCCGGCTTAATATCTTCTTTGTTTTTGTTCTCTTTTTCGGGCAGCGCAGCGGCAGAAGTATTAATGTTTGCGCTGCTACCTGATGACGTCGTTAAACGCGCTGTCGTTACAGTTGCGGTTGTTGTTGTTGTTGTTACGGTTGACGTTGTCAAAGAAGTTGCGGTGCTAGATACTGCACTCTTTGGCTGCAGAGACATCGATGGTAGCGAGGGGCAGCAAGAATGCGCTCTCTCGCTCTACACGTCTGCATGCGACGACGATTCGACGATTTTGAGTATAGATAACAAAAGTAAACAAACATAAGAGCGGCTTGAAAAGCGGATTATAAATCTCTACACCTATGCGCACCAGTTCGAAGAGGTACGGTTCCAACTTTATCGATGGGCAGAACGGACCATAGCTACTCTGACGATGCCGTCCTCGCCGGGTATGATTTCTTGAACTCGTCCAAATGGCGTCCAAATCAGCTTGGTCTTCTGTGGACACGGCTTGC